CTCTCCATCAGACTTTACAGCTCTTTACAGCCTGGCCCCTTCCTCATTCTCTAATGTTATTGCATATTATACTCCCTTCATGTACTCTCCAGTCTAGCCAAACTGGTCTTCTTACTGCTCCAATGCTCCATTTCCCACCTCAGGGATGGCTTGTGTCCCGGCCATCCCCTTCACCGGGACTGTACTACCTTCTCCCCTCTGCCTCATCTCCTTCAGTTCCCACCTTGATTACTGCTTTTCTATGTGAAGTCTTGCCAGATTCCTCCAGCTGCTAGAGTCTTCTACCTCCTTCCTCCAAAAATTACCTTGTATTTATTTGGGATATCATTGCTATAGCAACATATATGTATATGAATACATACGTAAGTCTCCCCGATAGAAAGTCAGCTCCTTAAAGGCATGTTTTTACAGGCCCAGTACTCAGCTCAGTGCCTGGCACTGCCCTTAAGGGTGAGGAGATGGGCAAGGGTGTGCTGGTAGATGTTAACAACCAATTTGGGGTGGGGGAGGCCCATAACACAGTGAAGTTTAACCTGCTATATTCACATTTTCTCCGTGGCTTTCTTAAGTCTAGGATAATCACTTAAACAATGAACTCAGGCCCTGGTTTGTAGTGTTTGCTAATTTGTGAGGTGGAAATACTCACACTGATGATTTAACTATTTGCTCTTGAGAATCCAAGAGCTGGCTCCAGCATTCCCCCCCGCCCCCCCGTGAGTGGGTGGTCCAGATGCTGGACGTGGTCTGGAACATTTGGAGTGGAGCTCTCCCTGGCTCCAGGGTTCTCTGATGATTTATAGTAATGTGAGGGACCATGAAGGCCCAGAACTAGGGGTAGAAGAGACCTCAGAGGTCATCTGGTACAACTTCCTCGTTTTACAGATAGCGAAACAGGCCCAGAGGGGAAGTGATTTGCCCATGATCACATAGGGAGTAAGAGAGAGCTGGGATTTTTGTCTCTGAACAGCTAAGTGGTGGAACAGATAGAGTACCAGGCCTGGAGTCAAATACAGCCTTAGACACTTACTAGCTGCATGACCCTGCATAAGTCACTGTTTGCCTCAGTTTCCTCAGCTATAAAATGAGCTGGAAAAGAAAATGGCAAACCACTCCAGTATTTTTGCCAAGAAAACCCCAAATGGAGTCACAAAAGGTGCGACACAATTGAAAAACAACAGAACTGAACCTCTGTCTCTAAATTGAACACTATACCATGGCTGGGGTCAGGGTGCATCACAGGAACATGACCCCATCGAGGAAGGGAGAGTCAGATCCAAGTCCCCCCCAGGGATTTCTACCCTTCTGTGTTTACTAGTCAGCACCGTGAAGTGCTTTGCATATAGTGCTTAATAATGCTTTATTCATTTGTTTATCCCAGTCGGATATAGGCCTGGACCTTAGGACTAAATGAACCAATAAAAATTTATATTATATAGTGATTTAAGCTTTGCAAAGCACTTTACCTATATTATCAATCAAATAATCAATAAATATGTGCTAGGCACCGGAGACAGAAGCACAAAGAAACAATCCCTGCTGGTGAGAAGTTTACATTCTAATAGGGGACACAAGTTCATGTAGACATATGTATCACAAGTATGAAATCAATAGACATACATATGTATGAAAGAACTAGATAAACAGTAGTTTGGGAGGAAGGGCAGTTGGGAGAGATCAGAAAAAGCTTCATGCAAAATATTGTGCTTCAACTTGGTTGTGAAGGAAGAGAAGGGCTCGGTAAGGAGCAAGTGCGTTCCGGGCATGGGGGACAGTCATGACTGTCCCTGAGATGGGGAATGGGGTGTGGTGTGTGAGGAACAGTGTGAGAGTGGGAGTAATAGGATAGGTCCAGGTTGTATGAGGCTTTAAAAGGGAAATACAAGAGTTTGTCTCATTTGATTCCCATGATGACCTTGAGAGACGTGTGCCATTGCTATTATCCCCATTTTACAGATGAAGAAATAGAGGCTGAGAGAAGTTAATTGACCTGCCTAGGGTTATGTAGACAGTTAGTGTCTGAGGTGGATTCTAACTCAAGTCTCCCCTATTCCAAATCCTTCTTCTCTGCCTAGGCAGCCTACCAATTCAACTCAAGAGCATTTATTGAGCACTGACTGTGTACAAGGCATAGTTGATATACAAACAAAAGAAAAACTAGTCAAGGGTTGGCTTCTACATGCAAATAGATAAGTATTGTTTTTCAGTCATTTCAGTTGTGTCCAATTCTTCACCCCATTTTGGGTTTTCTTGGCAAAGATACTGGAGTGGTTTGCCATTTCCTTCTCCAGTTCATTTTACAGATGAGGAAACTGAGGCAAACAAGGTTAAGTGACTTATCCAGGGTCACACAGCTAGTAAGTGTCTGAGGTCACATTTGAACTCAGGTCTTCCTGACTCCAGGCCTGGCGCTCTGTTCGCTGAGCCACATAGCTGTTTCATCATCATTATTATTATTATCTCCATTTTACAATTGAAGAAACTGAGGCAAAGAGGGCCAAGTGACTGGCCCAGGGTCACACAGTCAATAAGTGCCTGAAGCAGGTCTTCCTGACCCCAGGCCCAGCACTCTATCCACCACACCATGGAGCTCCTTCAAACAGATAAGTACAGACATGATCATTTGAGGAAGGATGCTGGGAGAATCAGAGAAGGCTTCTCCTAGAAGGCAGAGACAAAGGAATCTACAAGAGGAACATTTAGCCAGGATAGAGAGTACCCTTGGGATGGGGAAGAGGAGGGGAGGGGTCAGCAAGGAGCACCGGCTTTGGAGTCTGAGGACCTGGGTTTAAATCCCTACTCTGATGTTTTCCACCTGAGTTACCTTGGCCAAGTCACTTCCCTATATGGGCCTCAGTTTCCTCATCTGTAAAACTGAGGGGGAGAGGAGACTGGATGACCCCTAAGATCCCATCCAACTCGGGACCTACTGTGATCCTCTGACATCCAAGATCATACCCCTCAGGCCAAGTCTTCCAAGGACACCAGCTGGTCTGTTTATATTAGAGTGTAAACGTCTTGAGGGCAGGGACTGTCTCAGTGTTGTCTTTTTATCCCCACCACCTAGAATAGGATCTGGCACCTGATATACAAATGCTGCTTGGACTGGATGGGACTGACAAAGGCTACCTTTGCCTGTGGCCCCAGGTAACTAGGTGGCACAGCGGGTAGTGCACTACACTTGGAGAAGACCTGAGTTCAAATCCTGCCTCAGATACTTACTCGCTGTGTGGCCCTGGGCCAGTCATAACCTCAGTTTCCTCATCTGAAAAATGGGGAGCTGGGCAGCTAGGTGGTACAGTGGATAGAGCACCAGCCCTAGAGTTAGGAGGACCTTAGATCAAAATCAGCCTCAGACATGACACCCACTAGCTGTGTGACTCTGGGCAAGTCACTTAACCCCAATTGCCCCACCCCCCAAAAAATGGGGAGAATAATAGCATCTACTTCCCAGAGTGGTTGTCAGAATAAAATTAGCTAATACTGGTAAAGTGCTTTGTAAACCTAAAGTGTCATATCAACGCCACCTAATGTCATCCTGCCACCTTCCTAACTTTCCCTCATGCATTGTACTGTCAACATGAGGCACTGTGCCCCCAGAGCTTACTTGGAGCCCACTTGGCTCCCTGGTTTCACAGAGCTGCCATTCAATTTTGTTTTGTTTTGTTTTTTTGGCGAGGCAATAGGGTTAAGCAACTTGCCCAGGGTCACGCAGCTAGTGAGTGTTATGTGTCTTCAGGTCCTCCTGACTCCACGGCTGGCGCTCTATCCACTGCGCCACCTAGCTGCCCCTACAGAGCTGCCATTCTAGACCCTAATTCTCTCCCCTCTTCCCTTTCCACGGCCACCATCTCATTGGACCCAGATGCAGCTTCCGCTACCCCCTTCCCCTTATTGCCACACACTCTGGATCACACCAGTGGGGGTAGTCTAGATGGCCTCTGAGGTCCCTTCTAGTGCTAGGTCTACGTTCCTGTCTTTGAATCCTACTTCTGACACTACCTGTGTGGCCTTAGGCAAGTCACTCACTTGCCTCAGTAGGCCTCAGTTTCCCCATCTGTAAAATGAAGGGGTTAGCTTACCTGGCCTCTGTGGTCCCTTCCAGCCTTACATCTTCCTTCTTCCATGCACCTGTGGAGCATCCTCCAACGCCTGGAGAGTTTCTAAAGGCCAGGCCCATGGGACATGAGCTCCAGATGGTCCCAAACAACTGGAAAGGCTTCTAGCCAGCACAGGCCTGACAGGTAAGAGCCTGCCTCTGGCACCTGAGGGCCAGGCTGGCTGACTTCTGAGAAGCCCAACTCTGGGGGGCCTGCCACCAGGGGATGAATGTTGGGGACACAGCAGGTCATCAAACCATCCCTAAAGGTATGTCTCTATAAGCACATCCCCTGGGAAAACCACAGAGCCCTCAGGTATTTACAGGGGAAAAAGATACAGAAATTGAGAAAGAGCCCCCTGGAATGAGGCCATTCAAATGCAGAGCATAGGAACATAGAACCCGGGATGGGACTTCAGAGGCCATCTGAGTCTAATGCTCTCATTTTACAGATGGAGAAACTGAGACTCCCAGGAGGGAAGGTAGGACAGGTAGGATTCTAGAACCACAACTGTAGAGCTGGAGAGAGCTCAGAGGGCACTTAGTCAACTCCCTTATTTTACTGAGGAGAAAACCAGTACACAGAGAAATTAAATGACTGTCCAAGGTCACCCCTGTAAGAAATGACAAACATAAGAAGATCACAGGCCTAGAGCTGAAAGGGGCCTCGGAGGCCATGTAGTACAACCTACCCACTTTACAGATGTAAAACTTGAGGCTTCAGGTCCCACAGGATTTGAATCTAGATTCTGTGATTCCTGAGCCAGGGCACTAGACTGAGGCATGTTAAGTTTGGGGGATTTTTTTTTAGCAGTTTCTGGGGCCTGACTTAGACCATGCTGATTCCACCTCATATCCCAGAAAACAACAAGAATGATAATGTGGTTTGTTTTGGTTTTCACAGACTTGTTCTAACAGTGACCAAGGTATGTGAGTGTTTGGCTGAAGAGGAACCCGCCCACCCGCTCCCCCACTCCTGGCCCCCACCCTCGGTGTAACTTCACTGGCATAAGGAACGCCAAACGAGGAAAGGTCCCCAGTCGAAGCAGTGAGTACTCGGTCTTCGACCGTCTAGAGTTCCCTAAGTGATTGTGACTTGCCTGGGGTCACGCAGCCCAGATGCATCAGACAAAGCTTGCATCCAGGTCTTCCTGACTCCAAGACTGGCCCTTCATCCACTCTGCTGCCCAGTAGTTACAGTGAGAAGAAGAGCTTAGAAAGTACTTTTCTCACATCTGTAGGTGGTACAAGCAAGCAGTCAATAAACATTAATTAAGGACCTACTGTGTACCAGACACTGTGCTAAGCTCTGGGGATACAAAGGAGCTTACATTCTAATGTATAAAATGACTAAGAGGCAATCAGAGGAGGGGAAAGGGAATAACAACTGGGGAAATCAAGGAAGGCTTCATGTAGGAGACAGTGGTTGAGCCTGAGCTTCAAAGGAAAGCAAGGTGGGGTGCAGGGGATGGGGAGAGTGTCTAACGGAGCAGAGAGCGTGCATTCCAGGCCCAGGAAACCTCTCAAGGCTGATGTGGAGACAGAGTAGAGGACTGCAGAGTGAGGGAAGGGATGGGCTGGGTAAGGTATACTAAAGCTTCTGGAAAAGTAGGCTGGGGCCAAGTTCTACAAGGCTCCGAATGTCAAACCTTCCACACAACCACGATGCTCTAGGCCAGTGGTGTCAAATTTAGATAGGAACTCACTAAAAGGATCCCTGTGGGCCACATATTGACTTAGCAAACCACATGTGTTTGTATATTTCCTTGTTTTATTGATACATCGACACATTATAAACAGAGAGGAACTACATTTTAATCTAGTTCAGGCTAAGGCAGGGAGCACCGTGGGCCACGCATTGATTCTCTGCTCTAGGAAAGATTAGAGAGGGATTTGAACCCAGCCCTGCGTTCTCTCCAACACTGATCTCCAGCCTGCTTTGGATTTGCCACCTCGACATCCTGGATCAAACTCATTGGCTGGTTCTAGAATCCGGAGCTCACTTTCAGCCAATTAGGAAACATCCGGATTGTACTCCATGCACATCACCCTTTGATCGCTGATGCCCAGGTATGTCTCTCCGCTGCCACTGCCTCCTCTTCCTCCTCCCACAAGGAAGGGAAAACCAACTCTCCCATAGCTTCAGAAAGCACAAGGATCCCTTAACACACCAGGTCACCAGTCAGGCGATAAACATTTATTAAGTGCCTACTGTGTGCTAAGTACTTGGGATACAAAGAAAGGCAATTCCCTTCCCTTGACCTCTCCTGCCTTTCCTTCCCTGCTACAACATACCCAGTGAGAGGCACAGAAACAAAAAAAACCAGCTTCCTGTCTGTTAAGGAGCGCATATTCTACTGGAGTTCATGTGATGCATAAGAATGGGCACATTCTTGGCACACCTATAGGCATCATTCTCACTGACAGGGAAAGCATGTGCCCAGTATCCTGCGGGATCCTGAAGTGGTGGGATGGGGGAAGGGGGAGGAACAAAGACAAATTATATCTGATGGTCAAATAGACATTTAAGGTTTGCACAGCACTTCACATATATTAATTTCCTCATTTAACCACCTTAGAACAGCCCTGTGAGGCTCCTATTATCCTGTGATAATAGGTGAAGTGGCATTATCACCATTTTGCAGATGAGAAAACTGAGGCTGAGAAGGAGTAAGTGTTAAATATCAGGCTGGCCTGGGAACTCAGGAATGGCCTGAATTCCAATCTTCCCTCAGAATCTTAGCTGTGAAAACCCTGGGACAAAAGTCTCAACCTCAGTTTCTTCATTTGCAAAACGGGATCAGTTCCTCCTCCAAGGACTTACTCCAAAGGGCTATTGTGAGGTTCAAGTGGAATTGCATATGTAAGGTGCCTTGCCAATGTTAAAGCATTGTATGGGTCAGATAGTTAAACATTGTATGGGTCAGATAGTTAAGTTAAGGCCTATACTATGTTGTTAGATCGTACATTACATTGTATATTCTATGTTATGTTGTTACACATTATGTTCTATTACATAGTATATTATATTATATATTAATCCTATCATATCTCATTGTTATATATACCATATCACATTATATCATATTTGACATATTATATCATATAGCTATATGATATGTTATGTTTGATATAACATCGTATACTATTATATCATGTTACATATATGTTCTAACACAGCATAGTATATCACAGAATGTATGGTTATATTGTATTATAATAACATAATTATCTGTTATGTCATGCTGTATCACACTCCATTACATTTATTCCAATATAGAGGGGCACAGTGTATACAGCTGCCCTCAGAGCCAGGGAACCCGGGTTCAGGGTCCCACTTCTGATGCACACTAGCCATGGAGCCCTGGCCAAATCACCTGACTTGTCAGTACTCTAGGCCGTTTTTTAAGGCTCTACTATCAGAGCAGATGCCCATCTATGCTGATAGAGGCCACTTCTTCCACCAGGGAATTCCCTCCACCAATGGATTCACAGATCCATCCCTCTCAGGGTCAGTGGACAGAGTGCCAAGTCTAGGGTGAGCCAGAAAGACCTGAGTTCAAATCCAGCCTCAAATACTTCCTAGCTATGTGACCCTGGGCAAGTCACTTAACCTCTCTTTTCCTGAGTTTCCTCACCTGTAAAGTGGGGTTACCCATTACATTATTACCCAAAACAGCACCTACTTCACAGGGCTGTGGTGAGGATCAAACGAGATCATAATTGTAAAGTGCTTAGCACGGTGCCTGGCACACAGTAGGTGCCATAGAAACGTTAGCTATTGTTATTATTATTGTGAAACAAGTTGTGAAACACGCGTATAACAGAATGGAATGCTGAGGCGCTGAAAGAAGCAAAGAATGTGAGGAATGAAGACTTAAACCGTGCAAAGTGAAAGAAGAGCCAGGAAAACATCAGACACAAAGTCAGTAATGCAAACAGAAAGACACACCCACAAAGTCCCTACTGGGTGCTTTGCAATTATCATAATCGAATGGGGCTTAAAGAACAAATACAGGAAAGCACCTCCCTCCCTTCTTTGCAGACGTGGGGGATGATGGGTATTGAGCACTGAACATGCCATCACAGCTGATGTGTTCATCAGGTTTGCTGATCTGATTTTCTCTCTCTTCCCACTCCTTCTCTTCTCCTCTTCTCTTCTCCTTCTCTCTCTGTCTCTCTCTCCTCTCTCTCTCTGTCTCTCTCTCCTCTCTCTCTCTGTCTCTCTCTCTCTCTCTTCCTCCTTCTTTGTGTATGTCTCTCTCTCTCTCTCTCTCCCTCTCTGTGTGTCTGTCTGTCTCTCTCTCTTCCCTCCCTCTCTCTCTGTCTCTCTCTCTCTTTCCCTCCTTCTTCGTGTATGTCTCTGTGTGTCTCTCTGTCTGTCTCTCTCTCCTCCCTCCCTCCCCCTCTCCCTCTGTGTGTGTGTCTCTCTGTGTCTCCCTCTCTGTCTGTCTCTGTCTCTCTCTGTGTGTCTCTGTCTCTGTTTCTCTCTCTGTTATAAAGGAAAACGTTGTGGGGAGGGGGTGATATACTCCAAAATGAAGGTGATATAAAAACCAAAGCTATCAGTTTTAAAAATTGGAGACATTTAGTCCAGTCTTCCATCCAAGGTAGGTACCCCTTCCTTGGCTTCCCTGATAACGCAAAGAGATTTCCTCAGGAGATTCGTTCAAGAAGCAGCGATGAAGCAGCTGGGGTGGATGAGCACTGTGCTAGGCTGGGAATGCAAAGGCACAAAATCGTTTCTGCCCTTTCCGTCACGACAATGCCAGCCCTCAGAAGGGATGGCCAGGGAAAGGCTCCAAACAGCTGATGCATCAGGTATTCAGAGAAGGGGGTGGTTAAGTTGGGGAAACATTGACAACCATGGTGGGCCTCCTCAGGGAAGGGGAGAGAAGGGCATTCCAGGTTGGATGAATGGATGTTTCCCAGTGCTGGTGCCCTGCACATAGTAAGTGCTTTATCAGTATTGTTCAATGTTTTAATATTAAGCTGTTAATTTTTTTTTTTTTTTGGTGAGGCAGTTGGGGTAAGTGACTTGCCCAGAGTCACACAGCTAGTGAGTGTTATGTGTCTAAGGCTGGTTTTGAACTCAGGTCCTCCTGACTCCTGGACTGGTGCTCTATCCACTTCCCCATCTAGCTGCCCACTTGCTTACTGATCATTTATTAAGCATCTAATAATTAATAATTAAGCATCTTGTTATAGGCACTGCTGAGTGCTGGCAGAGTTACAAAATTTAGCTAAAATGCAATTCCTGCTTTCATGGAGCTAACAGTCTAATAGGGAGAAAAGACACAAACAGATGTCTGTGATAGCAAGATTATGTAATAAGGGCATTAGAAAGCTACAGAGTTCTATGGGAGATCCAAGAGGAAGCTTCATACTGACTGAGGAAATCAGGGAAGACCTCCTGGAAGAGATGGCATTGGAGTTGGGCTTTAAAGAATAGATAGGAATTCAGCAAGAGAAGGGAAGGCATTCCAAGCATAGGGTATGCCATAAGCAAAGGCATGGGAGCTGGAGAAAACAGAGCAGTTTGGGGACAGAGTTGTCCAGTTTGGCTGAATCATAGAATGTGTGAGATAAGATAGGCTGGAAAAGCAGAGCAGAATAAGTTAAATTGGATGTTTTGCTGTCCAGACAGTTGGGCTCCCGCATATCCCAAAAGGTTTCCAGACTACTCCAGGTCTTCTTCTGACCATTTAGACTAAGGGTGAAAAATAAGCAAACAGGGGCAGCTAGGTGGCGCAGTGGATAGAGCACCGGCCCTGAAGTCAGGAGGACCTGAGTTCAAATGTGGCCTCAGACCAAACACTTGACACTTACTAGCTGTGTGACCCTGGGCAAGTCACTTAACCTCAACTGCCTAAAAAGAAAAAAAGAAAAAAAAATAAGCAAACAAAGAAACCAAAAGCCAGTGGTCGGTTGCACAGGGGATGGGACCTAGACTGGAGTCTGGCCCCAGTGAATTAGAGGGCAAATTCCTTCATTCAGCCATCACACATTACTGACGTGCAGGGCTGGAGGAAATAACAAGAGTCCTAAGAAAGGTTTCTGTCCTCAGAGAGCTTATAGTCTAGTAGTGATCATAGGGCTCAGAGCTAGAAACAGCCTTAGAGAGCATCTAGTTCAATCCCTTCACTTTACAGTTGAGGAAACTGAGGCTCAGAAAGGCCCAAGATCACATTGTAGTAAGAGACAGAACCAAGGGAGGAAGTTATGGTGCAACAGAAGGAGGGAAAGAGATTGGAGGCAGAGGTCAAATCCAGCCTCTGTCGCTATCTACTTTGTGATCTCAGGCAAATCACCACTCCTCTCTGGACCTCAGTCTCCTCATCTATAAAATGAGAGGAACTGGACCAGATGACCTCTGAGGTCCCTTCTAACTCAAAGTCTAGAATGGTCCCATAATCCCATGTGTCAGAGGTAGGATTGGAACCCAGGTCTTCCTAGCGCCAAGGTCTATGCTTATCACACGGTGGCTAGCCCAGGACTGTGCAGAGTATGCCCCCAGCACATTCTTACTGACCCTCTTCCTCTTACTCTTTTTCATCTCTCCCATTCTTTCTCTCTTTCTCTTCCTTTTCCTCTTCTCTCTTCCTCCCTCCTCTGCCCCTCCCCTCAGGCCTCTACATCCCTCCCACTCAGCCTGGCTTAGTCTTGTTAGCAGCGCCTGAGTCAAAGAGGGGACAACTGATATTGGTCTAGGGACTACATGGGAAGAAAGATCTGCTCCCTCCTTTGCTGCAGTAATGGCAGGATGAAGAGTTTATATTTGTGCCCCCCTTTGATTAAATTGACTCAGAAAACTGGGATCCCAAAAGAAATTGACAGATGAAAATTATGTGCCCAATCTAAGAAGAGAAGATTTGAAGGAGATAAATGTCAAGTCCTGGGTTCAAAAGACCAATTACATAAACAAAGAATGGTGGTAAAGGTATGGCTAGACAATAATGCCTGTGAAAAGATCTGAGGGCCTTAGTGGACTACAAGTTTAATATTAATAAATAGTGCAACAGAATGGTCTCAAAAGCTACTACAAACATAGGCTGCGTTAAGAGAAGCAGGATCCACAGAGTCTGACTGCCCTGGGTCAGGTCCCACCTGAAGGATTGTGTTCAGGTCTGGGCACATTTTAGGAAGGATACTGGCCAACAGGAGAAAGGCAACTAGAATGCTGAAGGGACTGGACACCAGGATGATCCCTGAAGTTCCTTCTAACCCTAAATTCTATAATCAATGTGAGAATCAATGAGTTGAAGGAACTGGAGACTTTCAGCTTGGAAAAGAGGAGACTTGGGGGGCACATGTGACTTGTCTTTGAAGGATTACCACTGGAAGATTTGGTCTTCTTAAATTTAAGATGGGAAGATTTTTCTTTTTTCTTTCTTTCCTTCCTTCCTTCCCTTCCCTTCCCTTCCCTTTCCTTTCCTTTCCTTTCCTTTCCTTTCCTTTCCTTTCCTTTCCTTTCCTTTCCTTTCCTTTCCTTTCCTTTCCTTCCTTCCTTCCTTCCTTCCTTCCTTCCTTCCTTCCTTCCTTCCTTCCTTCCTTCCTTCCTTCCTTCCTTCCTTTCTTTCTTTCTTTCTTTCTTTCTTTCTTTCTTTCTATCAGAGTTTTCCAAAAGTTGGAATAGGGGGCCTCAATAGGTAGTGAGTTTCCCATCACTTAAGGTCTTCAAGAAAAAGCTGGATGACTGCATATCAGAAATGCTGCTGAGGAGTTCCTATGTTGGTGTGGGTTGGGCTAAGTTAGCCGCAAGATCTCTTTCAAATCTGAGGTTTTGATATCCTATGATTCTGTTGGCTGAATTGAAATAAATTCCAAAGAATAGAGAGAGGCTTTCTCCCAAGTCAAGCCTTGGCCACTCCAGTCACCTCAGAAGAGATGATGTTGGAGAAGGTGACCTCAAGCCACTGCTATTCCAAGAATCTGCCCTATTTAGATCCTCCAAGAGCCCTCCAGACACCCTCAGACAAGCACGCACTCAGACTGTGTCTAAAGCTTAGCTCATCATTTCCCCACCATTTGAAA